CCTAGGTATATAGCTAATATAACTGAAAAGAGAGACTCAAACAGATACTTGTACGCCAATGTTCACTGAAGCGTTCATTATTCACAAGAGCAAAAGGGTGGAAATAACCTAAGCATACATCGACAGATGAATGGATAAATAAAAGATGGTAGACCCATATAACAATAATATATCAGCCAAAAAAGGAACGATGCTCTGACATAGGCTACAACATGGATGAATTTTGAAAACATTACACTAAGTGAAAGAAGCCAAACACAAAAAGGACAAATATCCAGAATAGGCTAGAGACCGAAAATAAACTAGAGGTTAACCAGTGGCTAGAAGGAAAAATTGGGAAGTGCTGATTAACAGTTACACAGTTTGGGATGATGAAAAAGTTTTGCGAAGAGACATCGGTGATAGCTGCACAACACGGTGAATGTAATTATACGCCACTGAATTGTGCACTTAAAAAATCACTAAGATGGCAAAATTTTAAGTATAATTTTAAGAATGACATCAAAACTCATTGACTTGCACAATTTTTAAGCGTGTTTTTAATAGTTAATTATTTTTGAGGAAAAGCGCAAACGGGAGGGAGACAGAGGATCTGAAACGGGCTCTGAGCTGACAGCAGAGAGCCCAATGCAGGGCTTCAACTCAGAACTGCGAGATGATGGCCGGAGTCTAAGTCAGATGCTTGACCCACTGAGCCACCCAGGTGCCTCGCTGAACTGTACACTTTAAATGGGTTGTATGCTATGTGAGTTATATCTCAATAAACTTAAGAAGAATCCAATAGACTTGGGGGGTACAATGATAATTAGAGATATTTTACATCAACTAGTATAACTGAGAGAAAGCCAATTATCGTGTATTATCGTGTTTATCTAGGCAATGTTTAGTTGTGAAGGCAAATTGTAGTGATGTACAGTTTGATTGCATCTGACTTCTCTAATTCTGATATAATAATTTACAATAGAGTCTATAATAAAACCTAGCCCAGTAACAACTATATAAAATTAGGGGAAGAGTTATTTCAACATTTTTTTTTTTCAACGTTTATTTATTTTTGGGACAGAGAGAGACAGAGCATGAACGGGGGAGGGGCAGAGAGAGAGAGGGAGACACAGAATCGGAAACAGGCTCCAGGCTCCGAGCCATCAGCCCAGAGCCCGACGCGGGGCTCGAACTCACAGACCGCGAGATCGTGACCTGGCTGAAGTCGGACACTTAACCGACTGCGCCATCCAGGCGCCCCAGGGGAAGAGGTATTTCAAACAAAATGGGACATATACTCCAGAGGTTCACACACAACCTGTCAAGGTATGGCTGACCCTTGAACAACATGGGTTTGAACTCTGTGGGCCTACTTACATGGAAAAAAAAAATCTTTTTTTTAATAAATACAGTACTGTAAATGTATTTTCCTAACATTTCTTTTCTCTAGTTTACTTTATTGTAAAAATACAATATACAATACATATAATACAATATACAATACATATACAATATGTGTTAATTGACTATATTATCAATAAAGCTTCTGATCAACAGTAGAATATTAAGTTTTGAGGGAGTCAAAAGTTATTTATGTGTTTTTGTTTTTTACTGAAGGGGTGGTCAGCCCCTGATCCGTGTGATGTTCAAGGGTCAACTGTACTTTAGATGAGTGATTCCCAAACACCAGAGTAAGACAATGCCTGTTATGGAAACTTATACAAGCAAGGACCACAACAAGCCTGTCGATCTGAAGTGTTAACTACAAATCACTCTTATTTATTAAAACAAGATTTCAGCGAGGCAACAGTGGCAATATTGGGGTCTTCACAGTTGGTAGGAAGACAGGATGGCTTATTCTCACCTCTGCTCAGGGTCCTTACCCTTATACCTGCTCTATTTCCTAAGTTTCTTTTTAAAACTTGCACAAATTTTTACTAAACCAGGGTAACTCTCAATATTACTCACCATATTTGATTTACATTCCAAAATTATAAACAAATCCTAAAGATTACTAGACACTTTGGTTTATCAGCAACCCCTTCCATCAGCATGAAAAACAGTAAACTGCCAGTATGGAAATTACAAACGTGTATAAAGGGTGAAGGATAGGTCAGATATTTTGCTGTCAGGTTAAAGAATGGATGGGGTTTCTAATCATGTGGATTAATGGAACCATAGATAACCTGAAGGGAAGTCTGGGTTTGGGTTATTTTTAGCTTAAGTTGGGAGTTTTTGCTGTAAAAACAAAATACACTGTATTTACTTTAGAAGATTTGAATAACCTCCTGATAAAAGTTCAATGTTACCGCTTAATTCAATGTGAACATGTTTTTCCGTAAAATTATCAAAATGACTTAATCCAAAAATGGAAGAAAGCACATTTAAAAATCAGTCATTTGGGAAAAGACTGATTATTAATACTAATAACCAGACAGTAACCATGACTGAGAAAGACAACAAGAGAAGCATGGAGAAGTGGTTCATAACACTGTGAACTATTCTATATAGAGACTTACTGGACTGAGGCTTTAGTTTTTCAATTGTAGAATAAGACAAAACATTACAACGTGGAACTTTTCCCCAAAGGAATGTGAGGAAAAGCTTGTGAGAGAAGCCTGGACAAATGACATGAGAGGAGAAAATTTTCTAAAAGCTAGGAGTACCGTATGTTTTAAATTCACCTATTAGAAAAGATGACCCTGAAAACAGAATATGTGGGATCATAGAATGTGTCGGCTTCATGATTAAGTACATTGTCCTGAACGGGCCCATTTTCTCTGTAGAGAAAAGAAATCCTGCTCCATTGTCACATAACACCAAACTTTATCATGACCATTTGTCCCAGACAATATGCATTAAATAGTCTGTCACCGCCACCAGGAAAAACACAGCAACATTCCATGGACGAAGCAAGCATCAAGATGTTGTACAAAGGAGACAGGATTAAGATGCAAAAGGCTTACTTCTAGTTGTAGTTTTAATATGCTTCCTGACTGAGCCATCCATCCTTTCCAGGTCTCCATTCCCAGAACTGTAACAACAGGATGGTTTCTAAGGTACAAAGACCTCTCATGCTTTATATATAAAAATTAAAATGTCAAGAAAGAAATCAACCAAGAGCTCAATAAATGCCCTGCACTCATAAGTCAGCCTCTGAGCAGAAGCAAGCTCAGGTTCAATAATCCACAGGTAAATATTAAGAGTTACCCTTAGGTCCACAGAATAGAATGGAAGTTGAACTGTTTCACTTGGAGTGCTTCCCAAGTTACCGTGAGATAACTTTGTCAGATGAGAGAAGTCCACTTTATATAAAAGCCTAGTGTTCTTCAGACAGTAAAGCCATGGAAAACCCATTCTGTAAACAAGCTTCAACTGCTGTTAACTTCCTTTATAGGAACAACAACAACAAAGAACATGGTGGCAAAAATGAAAGAACACCACCATCTAAACAGAATCAGTTTTGATATGCTTAAAATTTGTTTATATTGAGAAAATTCTGGCTATATCCATGTAATGGTAAAATCAAAACAATTTTTACATTTTAGTGTGTACCACTGGTGTGCAATAAATAATTGGTTTACATTTTGTTCTGTGGAAGACAAACAGGGTGTGGAACCAGTTTTTCTCACCAGAAGGTTACTTTATCCAAATCCAGGAAAATCCTGAGCTCCTGAGAGCTCCTGGATTCCAAAGATGTTCCAGAACAACAAGCAAACCATTTCATCTGAGAGTGTGTACATTTTTTCCAAAGGTTAAAAACCTTTCAAGATCATGTCACAATGACACCATTATGATGACTAAACAGACCCCCTGGAGGCCCTCTGCCTTGGCCCTCGGAGTCTCCAGGACACCAGGTCTCCCCTCCAGCCTTCCTCGGTATGGTCCGTCTTAGCACCCAAGTGCTCAAAGGAGCAGCTGGGAGGGGCACCTGCAGGTTCCATAGCAACACAAAGGTCTATACCATCACACTCAGACTGCAACAGTCTAGGGGCCACTTGCCTTTTAAGAAGTACCCTAAATCCTTTTGGCCACTTTCATCAATCTTATTCACAGCCAGTTAGGCCAACTGCCTGAAGCAGGATGGATCCAGAATTCTCACTACAACTCTTAACCTCAGGATCAGCCCTCAGCATCCGGAACTCAAATGCTGCTTCCTTTCACCTTCTCTCAGCTTGGTTCCTCTTAAGTCGTTTTGTTTCCTGGCATACTAAAGGGGGAAAATATTTGCTAAAATAAAGCTGGCAAGTCTCAAAACATATGTAGACAAGAAGCCTACAAACCAAACACAGGTATCTCTACTCAGTTACAGCTGACAGCCATTTATTATAGCACAATGTCTTTGGGGAAAACCAGGATAATAAAGACTATAACCTTAAAATGAAAAGAAAAAAAAAAAAGCCACATACCTAAAATGTAAGTCTCATGAGATGAGGAAAGCCAAGATTTTGATCTACTCTTGGGTTAGCCTTAGCCTTTGAGAATATAACAATGGCCAAACTAAACTGCACATGACCATGGGGACTGATTGGGCCGAATTAAAATAAGGCATTGTCAGGTATTTTGAACATTACAGTAAAAGCTGGAGAAGAGCAGGGCGTTGTTGAATAGTTTGCACATGTGACCACAATTCAAGGAAAAATCTTTTTTTTTTTTTTTTTTTTAATTTTTTGATGTTTACTTTTGAGAGAGGAGAGAGAGACAGAGCGTGAGCAAGGGAGGGGCAGAGGAGACACAGAATCCAAAGCACTCTCCAGGCTCCGAACTGTCAGCACAGAGCCTGACGTGGGGCTCAAACCCATGAACTGTGAGATCATGACCTGAGCCGAAGTCCAATGCTCAACCGACTAAGCCACCCAGGCACCCCAGGAAAAATCTCTTTAGATAGCTAATTGATGAATCCCTCCCTATCACATTGAGCAGTCATATTCCATCCATGTGATTTCCTGTCCAAAGAGGTTGTATTACCTCCCCCCACCTCACAAGGAAACACCAATGATTACATCATCACTACTTACATTCAAAGCATTCTTTGCAGCTTCTGCTTCTGAGCGACTGTCAAAACTGACAAAACCTACGGGCTGAGGAAAGAAAAAAATATGAAGAAAAAACAAATCAGGGGATATATATTTTTCTGGGTCAAAGGTGATGTCACACTGAAGAGCTAAGATAAAGAAATGACCACAGGCAATGGGTAGAAGAAATAAGAAAGCCAGTTCAAAAGAATCATGACGCAGTGGCTTAGCCAAATTTCTAACATGAATCAAAAGGGATTGTGAGAGTGGTTCTTCAAGGGCACAGCTGGGGATTTAGAGAATCATAAAAAAAAAAAAAAAAAA